GAAAAGCCAATTCAAAGTCACGTTTCCTAACTTAAATCGGCGTTTTCAGCCGTGGTTCTGCTGAGCCGAAGCTCAGAGGCATTTCTCAATGTTTTCTTTTTTTCAAAGAGAATTTATCGACGCATGGTTTTCTGAGTACACGCGATCTTTACGGTCCAGATTCAGTTACATGAGAGCTGCTTTATATTCGGCAACCGCAGCCTTCTAGTGAGGAGTAAGTACTGCGATACAGTATCACTAACAATGATAAATAATGCCCCTCTGTCCTACTGTCACTCACTCTAACAATCAAGTTTTATTCTTATTCTTGCATCTATACGTCATGTACAGGTAGAGGAAACCTATGCAGTTCAGGCTGCACAGTTTATCCTTCTCCTCCTTCCTTCTATGAGACATGTTCCAGGCTTCAGACTGTGCTAAACACTCAGATTCACACAGTTTTTTCTGCTCTTGGGTCTTTGTGATGTCATAAAGAGTGGACATCTCCACCAATGTCCATCCTGGACATTATGGATGGGGATAGAAAATAATATATTCCCCAAAACCTTCAGTTTGTGATGAGCGACCAATCAGAAACAAGCTGGGAGGAGCTAAATCGTCTGGTTTCAGACAGAGGATGAACTGGGAGAGTTTCACCATGACATAAACAAGGATTATTTTGAACTGCGATCACTCAGAGCTATTCTTGGGGCTGGAAATTAGCTGAATACGAACCCTTTGATGACAGACACAAAATTTTAATAGAAGCTGTGATCGTTCGACTGAATCATGACTCATCTCTCGCCCTTAATCTTTGTCGTCTTTATCTCAAGCTGAGTCAGCACTCATCAAACCCCCCACGAAGAGCGTGTAACAAAGAAGAGTCTCAGCTTTATTTTCTGCTCCAAATGTTTGAGCTTCTTTTTAAAATTCTAGCTCCTCTAACTCCACCTGCTCCTCTAAGTGCACTTTTAAGACCAGGGGGGCAGACACTAATATGTAAGTACAAAGAGACATTTTCATGTTGACCATAAAACACAACGAGCACTGAGTAATTTTTTCGGATCAGCAATGGGAGAAAGCAGTATCCGATGTCCGTTATAGTACGTCCTGTGCCAGGTTACAACTTATCCAGTTCAAGGTGTTGTACAGGGTTTACTATTCAAAGTCTCGTCTGTCTGAGATTTACCCACAAGTAATGGATCAGTGTGAGAGATGTCATGCCACCCCATGTGACCTAGGCCATATGTTCTTTCTGTGCCCAAGACTCCACGGCTCCTGGAGTCAGTATTCAGTTATTCTTTCCAAGGCTCTTGGGACCCAAATCTGCATGGACCCTTTTCTAGCTGTTTTTGGGCTTCCAGTCAACACTGGTCTAACCGACCCTACACACTTCAAAATATTAGCCTTTGCATCACTTTTGGCTGGACGTTGCATCTTACTCCTTTGGAAATCTTCAAAGCCACCTTCAGTTTCTTTTTGGTTTAGAGATGTGATGTCATTTCTTAAATTGCAAAAGATAGGCCTGGTGGCGAAGGGCAAATACAGAGAATTTTATCGTAACTTGGGCCCCTTTGTAAACTATTGCAAGTCATTAAACGCTCTACCAGCTGATTAATATCATACCCCCCCCCTTTTCTTTTTTTTTTTGTTTTTGTGTTTGTTTTGGGTTTCTTCTTAGGTTTTGTTTTGTTTGTTTGTTTGTTTTTTTATTTTTTTTATTTTTTTATTTTATTTAAGCGTGTGTGTATTATCGTATCTGTTCATGTGAGAAAAACTAAAAAATATGTGAGGGGAACAGATTGTATTGTCATTGTAAACTAATGTACACTTGTCTCTCAATAAAAATATGAAAAAAACAAAAAAAACACAACGAGCACTGGTTGAGAGCCAGACTTAATCTAAGCGTAACCACAGTTTGTACATTTTCAAAGTGTTTCTGTGCAAGAAGCAGAAGATTTAAAACGGTTCTTCTGACCACATGGTTTCTTGCAACTTTCTCCATCAAGTTTAAAAAAAACAAAAAAACATATATCGATGCAGCCAGAACTCCCACACATGCTCATTTACTGTACTCCCGGTGCAAACACCCACACAGCGTGCATACTTTCACAACAAAAAGAAGCTACACAATGAAATCAGACAACAGACGAGTAAATTACAAAGTTCACATCAAACCCCCGAAATTGTGCAAAGTGCTGTGATGTTATCAGCGTCTCCCAAATCTCCCTGCTGTGATTTAAGATGTTTTTTTTTAACAATACCAAGGTAACATGACCGCCAGGAAAACATAATTCAGTTCAGTTTAGTTGCCAAGAATTGCATTAATATCGCTTAGCAACAAGTAAAGGTTGTGAGGATGAAGGTGTCTGCAGCACTGTTTTCGTTTTCACTCGATCACCGCCAGTTTGAGCTGAGTGTAACTCGTGCTTTTGGAGCTACAATTTACAGCCGTCCCCCAAACACACCACACAACAGTTTATTGTGACACTCTTTCAAAGACCTGTCTGAGGGCTGAGACTTGGTGTCATGTGACGACTACAGTTGGATATTATACGGCATGTCTGGTGAGGATTCCCCCACAAGAACCTGACACTTCATAACTTGTGTTTCTGCACCAATTTGTACTTTTTTTTCACTGATGTCTTTAAAGGGAACACAAAAATCCTTCAGTATATATACTGTGGTCTAATAATGTGAGGCTTTAAGGCCATTCTGTGTTGCTTTTAAAAAATTATGCTCAGTTATTCCTGGTAATAGTATCCCTGCTGGGTTAACTCGCAGACACATTTCCTCTTCATCTTCTGAGCTTTGACTTTTGCAGTCATCAGAGTCTGAGCTGACGACGTGTCAGGCTGCTTTTATGTGGGGAAATCTGGTTAAACATGTGTCACATGGTCACATCAGTACTAAACTGTTGTGTATATTTTAAGCCACTTTCAATAGGTCAGATGCACTTCAGACAGAAAATGCTGCTTCCAGTTTGGATTGTGATTGATATTCCCTCAGTGTACACCCTTTGTGTGGCCGTCCTCTACACACAGAGTGGAGCAGGCAGCAGATGCTGCAGGGGAAACAAAGGCAGCACAGGTGACAGTTTGTATTTGTCATCAGAGTGTAAATATCCAAACGGTTGCTTCTCATGTGGTGCTCACTCTAGCAGGACCGAGGACATCCATCCATCCATCCATCCATCCATCCATCCATCCATCGTGAGGCTGCAGTAAGTGCCTCGCTGCAGGTAAAGTGTAGCTATAATGTATTGTAACAAGGTTACACAGCCTCTAATTACAGAGTGTAGGAAATCGCCCGAGGAATCGCAGAGAGGTGTTAACCTAATGTGGACATAATGGCGTTTTAACCAGAACGCTCTGACTTCATCTGCTCCTGAATCTT